GCAAAAATAATATTTGTAAAAAAAAAAAAAAAAAAAAATGCGCTCATGAGCGAACACCGCAAAGAATTTTGAAAATACTTTTAATTAAATCATAAAACATTCTCAAAATTCCTTTTGTTATATTTACATTAGGTGTACATGTTCGTTTCCTCATTTTCATTCCCTCAGCTAAGAAGGTTCAGTTTCATCTTTCGAAACTACCTTCTCGCAAATTTACTCTTATTACGTGATTCCTTTGCTTCTGATTAGTTTTTATATCTGCAGGGAGGGTCATAAAAAACGTCTCCGATATATAAACCCCTAGCGACTTATCCGCTCAACCAATCGAAATGAAATTTCAAATATTGGTGTTTGAAGGTATGCGTTCGACACTGTGATGCTCTCACGGTTACGATTACAGTGAAATATTTTGAAAATTTCGAATTACAATATCCACCTTTTCTCCTCCGTAAACTAATCAGCAGTGAAAAACCATAAATGGCGTTGGAATGTTACGCGCATAACGAGTATTGCTGGCGTAAACTGTTTGCAAAGGAGAGCCTTTTAAAGGGTTAATGACAGCACAGGAGAGGTGAGCGGAAAAAAGCTTTTATTGGAATTACAAGTTTCCGAACTGCCCATCTTCGCACACGTGTTTGCAAGGGGCAGATTATTGACAACAATAACGAACGCACCATAGGAGGAATTTGTATAAATTTACGTTTTATGCCATCTTTCAGTTTTGATAAATCTCGTGGATTTGATTTGAATACCTTAGATTCCGAATAATCCCAGAGCCAGAAATTGATTAGAGTGAGGTCGGGGCATCGCGGTGTCCATGAAACTGGAAAGTTACTAGAGATGATTCTATTTTGAAACGCTATACATGTTGAAAATATGTAATTCCATTCCAAAGAGGCAAATTGCCCTGAAGGACTATTAATTTCGTTTTGGTATTTTGCGTTGTAAACTATAAACGGCGAATCACTTTTCAAATTGTTGCCACCAAATATTATCTTCCTTAAATATTTAAAGAAATTAAATAATGGAGAATCTGAAAAATTATTTGTTTTCGCATGTGATAAAAACGTACCTAGCAATCAAATTTGATAACGTAACGTCCACAAATATGGGCATCTGGAACCTCTTTGATACAAAATAGTTACATCGATGTATATTTTACAACATTCAAAATTTTATTAAAACACTCGACGCTTTCAAACGAGCAGTACGGAAAAAAACATTTTTATCTCCAGCGCGAGACGTATTCTAAATATTGCTCATTTAAAAATAATTTTGCGATATGTTTTGAACTAATTTATGGGTCGAGTCACGTTAGAACAGATATTAATAAATAAAAGTAACACACAAAACGTTAAATTAACGCCCCTTTGGACATAATTTAAAATCTCAAACCATTTAGATTTAAAAACACTTTTTTTTCCCATTTGTCTCTTGTGTTGTCATTGGTCCTTTATAAGGCTCTTCTTTGAAAATGTTTTACGCCGTCAATTTTCATCACACGTGTATGGTTGCAGCGCCTTTTATATTAGAGAAAAATGTCGCTATTGGAAACTTTCGAAATCTGATGTTCACCTTATCCGTAATCGTGAGATCTGTATTGTTTATTGTTTTAAATCATCACATTCTCGAGCGCATACCTTCAAAAAACAACATCTTAAATTTTTAATTTCGATTTTTTGAGTGAATAGGCCGCAAGGGATTCCTATATCGGTTCTTTTATGGCCGCTAGGGATTCATATAAGTTCTTTTATGACCACCGTGTAGAGCAGTTTTAGTGCAACATTCCAGATTCTCAGGGATTTTCGTACATTGTAACACTATCTTATTTTTTCAAAGTTTGTTTTTGATTACTTTAGTTAACCTGCAGATAATCTTAAATGGAATGATAGTGTTGCAGCCCTCTGTAAATTAAAGCATAAATTTTGCGTAAATTGTGTGCTTATTATTTTAAAAATTTCGTACGCCCCAAATCGTATAATATTAAAATTATAATTGAAAAGGAAAAAAAAATCTGTGGTCCATTTTTATGACGGTTAAACAAAAACACACTGACTGAAGTTCATGAATATACGGAATTTTACCAGCTTATTATGTTAAAGGTGCTGTTACAGATGAAGGCTTCAGTGCTTCTAAAGAAAACGAATCGATCTATATAGCCAAAATTCAATTTTGATAAACGAGGTTTACTAAGCCTAGTGTCACGGTGACAGAAGTATCTCAATTTTTTTTTTTTTTTTGGCATAACTCATTTCTTACACAAAGCAAACCAGATAAGATATATAGCTTTACAATGTTTCATTTTGCTTACGTGTTAAAACATTTTAAGAGGTTATTCATTTGCATTACGTTAGCTTTCACCCTGTAGCTATTAAGAAATAATATGTAAAGTATTCTGATTAAGGATGATACCACGTTGTTTTTTTTCCTGAGACATTTTACTTCAGTTGAGTAAAATCGTGGATTGTAAATAATGCTTTGTAGTAGTTGCAAAATGTACAATAAAATTAGTCTGAAGCAATTAAAATCTCAACTGAAATATAACCTATAATAATTCTAATTGTATTTAAGGGCTAGGTGTAAGTACCATTTCCTGAGCAACTTATATCTGAATTCTTTTGGTAAGTATGAATTAAAAATCAAATAAATATATGTTTATTTAAACTGACTAGAAGTTCAATAAGTTAATTAGAATTACTTTAATGACGTTTGGAAACTGGAACTTAAAGGTTTAAGTTCCAGCATTTAAATACATAAATTATGCATAAATTTTTAAATACATACATGATTGTAGCCTCGGTGGCGAGGAAAATGTTGAACATGTTCTTCTTCTATGTCCTAAATATGAGAGCGAAAGAAAAGTCTTGAAGCTGGGACTGAAAAATTTTAATATTAACTGGCCTCCAGAATTGTACCAATGTATTTTAGAGAGAAGTGTTTTTACAGTTTTTTGTCAATTTAATGTAAAAACTTTGTAATCATCCATAATTTTATTTCAGTTTTTTTGTTCTGTTTATTTTTTATTGTGTTTCATACTTACTTCTGTAAACCCCATGTGATACTATGTGGTACATGGGGAACTTATTGTGTTTCTTAATAAAAAAATACATAAATTACCAAGAGTTAGCCCATTTTGTTCTAGAAGCATAATATGTTATTAAGACTAAAATTTGCCTAAAGAATTAGTCTTTGCTGCCTTGTAAATAAAGTCTGGTGTTAATAGATCAAAAGAATACCATTTTTGGAAGGGTTAGTGTCATCTTTGTCGATGAGCAAATGCTTTTAATTTAACTTTTCAACTCCTCAAGAAGAGCTGACAAACTTTTGTTTTCAGTTTTAAGTTTGTACGGCTTAGTGTGTTTTGCGATCATCCAAAATGGGCTAACTCTTGGTAAACGTTAAGCAAATTACATTTAAGTTTAAAGTAACAACTGAAACTTGAGAAGGGTGTAAAAGACCTTTTAATGCACATTAAAAAAGAAGAACAGTAGGCACATCAGGTGCTTTCAAACCAGCCAACCACTTGTAGCAAGATAACTTAAAATACAGTAAATTCAGATGCAAAATTTAAATTCAAGTAAACTAGTAACGAGGCTACACAAATCAATTAACGCGAAGTTGGCTCAAATTCAGTTATCGGCAAATACAATGCAAGGCCGAACACTGCAAATCTTATCTTATGTAGCAACCTAGTAATGTGAGAGGCAAAACACGCTTTGTCTTATATTATAAATACCGCACTTTAAATACACGCGAACTAAATTTTCATTCTATGGGGAAAACCGAAGTGAGAAGTGGCAGTAAAGATTAAGCATTTAAATAGCTGGTTAATTAACATAAAAAGAACCTTATACATTATCGATCCAATATCAGAGCTTTGAGAAAATAAATCCTTAGTTAAAGGAAAGACATTTATATTGCGCTCTTTAATAAAAGATAAAACGTATATTAGAAGATACAAGGTAAGAAATACGGAAAGAAAGACAGTATCTTAAGCTGTCATAAAAAGATATCAGTGAAAAAAGAAAGATTTAAGCAGTTGCAAGGTATGATAAACAGATCTTTTAGCAAGGACCTCAGAGCCAGGGTTGGACATCGAAACAGTGTCTTTGAATAGAAAATAAAAGTAACATCATTGACTACAAGATTGAACAAGGATTGAATCAGTATCGCTCCAAAATTATTAAGAAGAAGTTGCATATCAGGATGAGTAATAAGAATTTAATGCGTTTGTTCCTGTGTTTTAGCTAGTATAGCAACTAAACAACACGGGCTTATCAAAAGTTTCAGGCACCGAGTCGTAGTGAAAGAAGAAAATCTTTAAAAAACAGAAAGAAGATAAGGGAATGATAAGAACAAGTTCTCTTTCAAAAGTAGAAGCATTAACGTTAAGGTAACAAGATGATATGTAGTTGCTGAAAGAGAAACTTCTTTCAAAATATAAAATTTTAAACTTCTGATAACTGCTTACTTAATGTGCGAAATATTATTAAATGATTAAAAAATGTGGCTGTGGCATGTTAATATATTAATTCACCGAATTCACATGGAGTTCAGCTTTGCTGTAAAACATAATACGGTTAATCGAATCAAAAGCTGAATTCCACATCTTGACTTTATTTTTGATGACTCTATGTTTTCGTATAGATTAAATAAGTGGAAAATAGTGATAACAAGTGTAAAATATTTTTGCTAATGTAGTTTTAAACGTCAGAAAAGTATTTTTGAGGAATTAATCTAATGAAATCTGACAAGAAAAGAAAAGAAAAAAAATGTATTTTGACCAAACCTTTCAATTCGAAATTTGTCACAATTATCATCATGCTTCCTGGTATAGATAAAAGAAAATGAAAATAACAGCAAAAGAAAATCAAATCTCCTTGTCAAAGTCCTGCTTGCTCATACAGTGAATGTAGGGATTCAGATAAGTGATGGACTGACGTGCTTCTCCAGATGGCAGTCTTCTCACCCACTAGCGGACAGGAGTTTCTCCCGATAACTTGTTGATACCTTTTCAGTGCGAACCGTTCAGCGGTTCGGTCGCTCCGTACAGCATCTCCCGGAAAAGGGAAAAGCTCGCGAACATGGAGAAAAAACACTATTTGGCATTTATTTTTTCAATATGCGCTATTCTTTGTGGCTTTACGGCAGCACATGATGGTGATGGACATTTTATGAATGATTGGGTAGTTCGCCTAACAGGGGGAAAAGAAGTTGTGGATCAGTTGGTAATTGAACTTGGCTACTTGAATTTGGGAGAAGTGAGTAAAGCTTTTAATTTCTATAACTATATTAATAATTTACATTTTCGAAGAATTATTAGCATTTAGTCTCAACTAACAAATATTAAAGTTTACTTTTTTCATGATGATTTTTGACTTATTTTCGCAGTATTTTAGCTCAAAAAGTGTGTGAGAGATATTTCTTATTTTTCGTTTAAATTCCTTAAAGATTTTTAAGAATAGCTACATTAAAATTATAAGTTAGTGATAGTAGTATTTTGTTTCCTTTATGACGAAGCTATACTTAAATGTAATCTAATAAGATACGAAAATCTTTCACAAACTCGAGCATTACAAAATTACATCTACTGGAACTATTCCTCAATCCCTAAAAGTGGAATTATATCTGTTAAAAGTATTTCCTTTCATGTGTTCGCCTACCAGCGGTTGAGCGGTAAAGTCGCTTAACACAGGTAGTTTCGTTCGAGGTTCGAATACCGGCTAACGTGTTAACTGCGTAGGAATTTTATGGATATCCCCCATGTGTAACGTGTATACGAGCTTGTTTCCCTTAGAAAATCTTTCACGAAGGCATCCCTTCCCTTAGGCAGATAGCCCTCGAATGCTTTTCCATAATCAATAAAACAAACCAAACCTTTCATGTTAAGAAGTAGTATCAACTAATGCAACGTAAGTAACCTTTAAAACCACTTTTATATTTGCAAGAAATTTTTAATATGATAACGTAATGAGTAAAAACCTTAATATTGATAATATGCTAAATCAGGCACTCAAATATACTTATATAGACATATATCTGTTCACTATGGATGTATTTAACAATAATATATTGTGGCATTTTAAATAAAAATATTATTTATTTGTATTTAGACTTCAATAAAGGATTGTTGTTTCTAGATTAAATATATAAAGTATATAATTACTAATATCAAGTATATAATTAGTAAATTGTATATCTATATATATGTTACTAAATTGTATATCTACTAATTTGTATTTTTTTATCTCTAATATTACTAACTTGCATATCAAGTACCTAATTACTAATTACTAGTACTAATTACTAATTGAAAAAGCCATACGGTACTATTTTTAAATATTTACTTAAATTAATTCATAAATAACACAAAAAACAATAATCATGGCAACATATGTTCGGATTATTGTTCCAAAAATACTATTAATAATCGTTTCTAACGCTTATCAGTTTCTTCTTAACGTTTTATCAGTTTACTCATTTAACCAATTCTCATGATTAGAAAAATCATTTTAAATCCTGGATAATAAAGACATTTTGATACTAGTTATGTTTTAAAGAAATTCTCAATTTATTTTACATGAAGAATACGAACTTATATTATGACTAAGAAAAGGTGGTCAAAAACTACTATATATTTTTAACTTCACAAAATATCATAATTAATATGATTAATATTTCGTACAACTCTAAATAAAACTTACGAAAGAGTAGCATTATTTATATTGATATGACTAAATTTTATTTCAATTACATTAACCACTGAGAAATTGTATTTTTCTAGTAATTATATATATTCAGTCTTTTCCGATAGCTTAATATCTCTATTCATATCCCTATAGCTTAAAACACCTTCTGTTTATCATAAATTTTATTGAAAATTAGAGAATTTTTATCTTGCAAACTACATTATTTTAAGCTTTTAAATAAGTATGTAAATTAAAATCACAAACATGAAATGAAAGCATTTTACCATACAGCATGGATATGAAGTTGTGACAGAAATAAGTCACAACAAGGTATGATGATCATCGGCAAAAAGATTACATAATTAAATATAAAGTTGGTATAAATTCAGTGGCTCGTTAACTGAAATAAGTCGCAACAAGGTATGATGATCATCGGCAGTGAAGGACCTTTCTAAGAAAATGAATTTATATTTATCGCCATCAAAACATCATACTGAAAAGCCTGTTTCTCGAAACTAAATTTAAGTCGAATTAATGGTATTCAGTGATCTTATCCACCCGGCCTTTGGAGCGCTAATAATAATCTTTAATTATATTTTAACATTTCATATAATTATGTTTCAAGCAAATTAACCACATATGAAGAGCAATAGTTAATCATCGGTAGTTATATTCCAAACTTATTTTATGTAGTTATGGTTAAAAATCATTCATCTAAAAATTCGCTTGTTACCATCATCAAATATTTACTCGTAATCATCAGACTTTTAATGGTAAGAGGTACATCTGTGTATACAGCGGAAGTGTAATCAACTGATACTTCTGAGCATGTTGATTAATGTTACAGGAATGTTTCGTACCTGAGTTTTCTATAACAAAATCTTTCGAAGGAAATGTAGTACTTGTCCCTTAGCGATGAAATCCGCATTCTTTGATGATAACTTTTTAGAAAAAAGCAGACGTGTATTTCTATAATAGAAAATGAAACTTACAATATTAATTCCAGTGGTAACTAGAAATTTTAAATAGGTAATATTTAATGGATATGATATTAAAAAAATTATATTTCAATACATTTTATGTAGTTTTACTAAATATCTCTGCTTCAGTTTTATTGAAAAAATAATCCCATTTCAACTCATAGTCTATAAATGAAATTTACCCATAGATTAGCATCGAGAAGGTAATTAGCTTGAATTACTCTTATCCGGAGTTATCCTGCAAAATCATTAAGTATTCTTGGAGAAGCAGATTTTGCAAAATTAATGATGCCCTCGGGAATTGGTGCAAAGTCTCAGCTGTATGTACTGAACGCTGCACAACGTAAGAATATATGGAAGGGATGCTTTTAGTTCATTACAATATGGAAAAATACAAAGCGGAGCGTTAGAGGAAAAAGCGGTGAAAAAACGTTAATACAGTAACTAGTTATAAAATTATGTAAATTACAGTAAAACCACACTTACCCGAAAATACACCAAACGAAAGTGCAAAAGCTGAATAGGTAATAGTCGTTTCCAATTTCTTATTGAATTTTTTCTTAGTATTAAAAAAGAAAATCCGTATTTTGTATTTTAGAAAGTGTTCGCAGTATATTTTAAGCAAAAATATATATTTATGAAATCTATGCCCTGCAGATGACATTTTATCTCCCACATTCTTTTTTGAGTTATGTGAGTTTTAATTTGAAAGCCCTCCATGAAAAGTGAATAAACTACGAAATGGAAGCTTCAAAGATTAAAAAAAAATATATTAGAACTCCTTTTCAAGTGTTGCTTGTCATTTTGTGAAGAAATTTGCGCGTGGTCTACCATTGCTGTAAACAGTATTCCAGGAAAAAACTGTTCCAAAAATAGAAAACTTTCGGTTATTTGTTGAAAATTTTCTTAACTGAATCTTTTATAAATTGAGTTTTTTAAAAAATGTTTATGATTATGTTAATTTTAACTATGCATGTCCCCACCTTTGTCACTCGTTTCATTGTTTTGTGAGAAAATATCACATTCCTCCTTGCGCTCTACCCTGCTGTATGTGTGTTAAGACGTTGGAAGATCCACGATTCGAATTCCGACGAGGCCAGAGATGATTTTTATGTTTCTTGCTTCTAAAAGGTCTAATGCACTCTGCGAATTAAACGTGATGATTGTAATACAAATTTGCCTGTTTTTAGTTATATATACATAAAATTCCTTTGTATGATTTTGATTTCTGATTTAAATTAAAACAGCTAAGACTAAAATGGAAATTTTGAAGTTTATTTTTATTTTAAATGTACTCAAAAATAACATTATACTCGAAGATAGTTGTAGCAAAAATAAGGCCATTTTTTTCCTATGGTAACGAGACTCATCATAGCTTATGCAAAAATATAGTATCTGAAACTGCTTCACTTGAATTAATTCTGACGAAAGGGGCTCAACTTTTGTAAATACGCATATGCAAAAAACTCATATATCACAGGCGGCCAAACTTCATGTCTGTAACAACGCATGTTAGAATTAAGAAAATTTTGACAGACGCAACTCGGACTTTTCCAAAAGCCACAAGTCCAGATTTACATCATTTTAAAAACAGTGAAATAGATTTTAAAGAAACGTTTGAGAATCATTGAATGACGTTTCGCCTTCAGAATATGATGGTGCGTAAAAGAGAAAGCAAAGTATTGTACTGTCTTTGGTTTCTCTAATTGTAGCTTAATGCAGTAAAAAATGCTGTTTTTCAATTTTTAAATACTACGATTCTTCCGCGATTCCTTCTTGCAAATGCAAGATCTACCACAGTTTTATAATGCACATGAAACTTAGGATTCTTCTTAAATCTGCGCCACAGCAAATCAATTTATTTTTCTGCAATCTTAGATTATCTTGCAAATACCCTGCACGATCATTGGACAGCAAGCAAGGTTTAGGTCTTTTGTCCTCAAATTTTACAGATTTTCGAAATTCTCTAAAGGTAACATAGTCTTCTATATTGTGATTGCCATCAGGTTTATTAGAAATTCCCAGAACTTCAAGTTACAATAAATGTTTCATCAGTTGGAGGTGTCGAATAAACTTCTGAATTATTTTTAACTCCTAAATTCTGAAAGATATTAAACGATTCTGATGCGTCATATGCGTCTGTTTTCGCTCCCAAAACACCCATGTTTAGTTTTATTCGCACAGATGAAGCACATTTCCATCTCGATTGATTCGTCAATCTGCAAAAGTGGCAAATTTGGGGATTTGAGAAGTCTCATGTTTGTTTTCCACAATCTCTCTATTCTCAAAACTCAAAACGTTCTTGCATGAGCAGCTGTTTTTAGAAGAAGTATAACTGGATTTTTCTACATAATACGACTTCAGAACGGTATGTTAAAATCTTGCAAGATTTTGGGGCCACTGAAAATGCTTTCGTGGAATCATCCGCGACATCCTGGTTTATGCAAGATGGTGTAAGGAAGGGATGGGCCAACTGAGGCCCACCGGAAGGTTCTATCCGGTCCGCGGATAGAATTTTAATTTTCCAGTCGGAGGCAAATTAAAATAAATATATATTTATATAATATATACTTTGTTTAAATATTATTTGTT